CAGTTGTTCAAGTGTAGTGTGATATATATATATATATATATATAATCCTGACCACTTCTATGTCTGTTGTATTTTAATTGGCCTGAGGAGCCTTGTTATTGAGCAAAAGGCCTTGTCAGCACATGATATAGCAGATATAATTTAGTTAACATACTGTTATATTTTTCTTTACTTTCATAAGTTTAATTTCTTATAATTTTTTTATCCTTGCTTTTGTAACACTTCTTGTGTTAGCTTTCTCATGATATTGCTTTCACGTTTTGAAAATATTTCTCTCGGTGAAAGCTTGGAGTTTTCTTTATGAGTGTTTTTCTTAAAATAAATTTTGTTCTCTAATAGAAAAAACTTTATTTTTTGGACATTTTTAACATTTGATTTGACATTTGATAGACATTTCAGCTTTCCAATTGACATTTGTTTATCTTGCTTTATATTTCAACTTTCCAGTTGGCATTTATTTTGTTACATGTTTCAGCTTTTTGAGTCACTTTATTTATTTTGATAGGTGTTCTAATTAACTGTAAATTATTTTTCCTGATGTGTCAGCCTTCCAAAGGACACTTATTTCAATTTTCCAATTGACATAACCATACCCTGCCCAATATGTCAGTTTCCAGATACTCTGTTTTTATTTTGTCTGGTACTTGAGCTTTTCAAATGATATTTTATTTTTCTGATGACATGTCTTTATTTTGCTTAATATTACAGCTTTCTCTTTGACACACTATCTTCTTTGACTTAATATTTCAGGTTTTAAATTGACACATTTGTCTCATTACTTGTGCTTTAACTTTGTAGTAACATATTTTTTGCATCATTGATATTTTAGATTTTCAATACACACATTTCAAATTACTCATTATTCAATTTTCTAGTTAACATACTTTCACTTAAATAAAATTTTTGCTTTTTATTTAAAACAATTTTTCGTGATCTACATTTCAACTTTCAAAAAATCTCTCCTTTTTTTTTTCAAAGTTGAATTTGACTTAATTTTTCCCATGTTCAATAATACATCTTTTCAAATAAAAACATTTTGAACCGAGATTTATTATCTGTTATTTGTATTACAGTGACATCCAGGGATATTTATGTTTAAATATTGGGTAAAACAGTATCAAAATATGTTTGAATAATTCAATGATCAAACTGTTATATTCATTAAAAAAAATTGCATTTGTTGCTGTCAAAAAGAAAAATATATTTTACTTCAGAACATGATTTATATCATTAGTTGAAAATGACTATTTTTATATTTCATCACTAGTACTATAATGAGTGCAATAATTGTGTGTGTGAATATTCAGAATTTGTGTCTATAAATTCATCTATGAAGTGATGCTTGTCATGCGGCTAGTCTTTTTTTTTATGTTTCAATGTATATTCAAACTAAAGAATAATTATTAATTCAACGTGTAGAATAAATAAGGTTATAGCATTAAGTTGGCAAACTTAATCTAACATAGTACAAAGTCCTGGAATGTTGTTTAGTCAAATCAAAATCATTGAATTGTGATCATCAATCAGTTTTCTGATTGCTTTGCTTTATATATTGTCTAATTTGCCAGTAAAATTCACTTACTCCAAACCATTAGTGATAGGTTTACTTTTGAATGAGTAAAATCATCTGTGTAAAAATACTCTATACTGGCAGAAGAGACAAATATATAAATAATTTCTAAACCTAGCAATCATGAATATATTTTAAAGTAATTGCTTATATTCTTGTTCGTTCTTAAAATCAGTAATCATTGTGGCCCAGCCAGTATCTGAGATACCCTCTCTCCCAGCATTTAGCTAGAAAATCCTCTAATGATTCAACCTCTAGTAAATTTATTAATAAAATTATTTTTAACTTTTATCTTTTAAAGATGTTAGTGTGATTTTTTGTTGTTGATGTTGTCAAAGATTTATAATTTTTAGGATAAATATCTAAGTGTTAGAAATTCTTTACTTTTGACATTTTAATAAATTTTGATTATTAGTTGTGATAATTAAAAGTCTGATATTTTCTTTTATAATTTTGACATTGAATATATATATTTTATGGTATTATGTTAGAACCAGTTTTTCAAAAATTTTAAGTATGTGTAATTGGTCCTAAAAAAAGATGTGCATAAAAGAAATCAGTCATTTCAATTTTTATTTTATTCCATATTCATATTCTAGCTTTTCCATAGAAAATTTTAATTAAAGTGTTACAAAATTATTATAATATAAATGCTAACATATTTAATCCAAATTTGTATTTAGAATTTAACCTAGTTTCTCATATTTAGCTTTATAAAATCATATTTTTTTTAATATGAGCCACAAACTTTTAAGCCATTTTAAATGCAGTGTGAATATAGAATATAAATAATTAAGGAATACATGTTGTTGTTATTACTTACGGTGTGAATAATTTAACATTTATCAAGAAGTAAAAATATGCATATATATATGTAGGGAACAAAAGAACCTTTAGTTGTGCCTTTTTCAAGCCTTTGCTTCTGTAATGTATTAAGCACTCGCTGATTTAAAATTATATGTTTATTAAGAAAAACTATAAATTTATGAACAAATCTGTGACTGACTTCGACTTGATTGTGTTATAGGATATTAAAATATGTGCTGACTTATTTTAATACTGTTGTGTAATTATTCGATGTCTTGTTATAAGGTTTATAATATGTTTTGTGGGCCTACATGGATAGTAATCGACACTGTGACACGTGCCTTCTTATCGTGCGATATTTCGTCATTTCACGCCTAAACCCGCGACTGACACTTTCCATAAATCCCATCTTTGATACCAACAAGCAACGCTGCATCATAAATAAAAGATTTGCATGCGGTATACTGACTGCTACTATAATCTGAAGCACCATCATTACTGGCAAAGTATTGGATGATAGTTGTCAAAATAGGAGCTTTGTCAACAATATTAATAATATATATATATATATATAAACATACGTGTTTGTTTGTTTGGAGTTAAGCATAAAAGCTCCACAATGGGCTATCTGAGCTCTGCCCACCACAGGTATCGAAACCCGGTTTCTAGCGTTGTAAGTCAGCAGAGATACCGCTGTGCCACTGGGGGGGGGGCTATGAACATGCTTTGTAAATTAACATTTTATTAGAGAAATGATACTAAGTAATTCAGCTTAAAGTTACTTAGGCGCGAAAGAAAGTACATAATATGTATGTCCTATACACTTTTCACGTGTCAGTTATCTTGCCTTTCCCCCTCCCCTACCCGGAAGAAGAAAACTCTGCCCGTCACGTAGTATACCAAAGTAGACACACAAAAAGTGGTCCCCTCTCCCAAGCATCAAGTTTTTATCTATTCATGAACATTCCATATATATTCAAACCAAATGTAACAAATGCCCGTGAAAAGTTTAATTGCATTAATTAAGGATTTTCTTTTAAATTCATACCACTTCTCTTTTAATAAAACAAACTGTTAACTTCAAATCTATAACAATGACTACTTTCTCCGTCTTAAACAATTACATGTAACGCTATATAGTTTTCCTGTGACACACAGTATTCTTCAATTTCGATATTGGACATTAATATATGTTAAACACTGACATGCGTCACTGTCCTAATTTGCATTACCCAATCTACGGGTTTTTTAATGCGTTTTTCTTTCGGCGTAACTGTATAAAAAATCGTTAGTATTTTTATTAAGTCATTTACCAATTACTTGATAACTACAACAGTTTAAGAAAGAGAACTGTGGTATTAAGTATGTGTATATTAATTGAGATTTTGTTTTGACATTGGACTCTAGCGCAGAGAAACCGTGGAATTCACACAGTTGTCGTGAGCATGAATAAAACTTTAC